TTCCCACCAAGAGCAAGCACTAGGTGACAGAGGCAAGGAAAAACTTCCTTTTAACAGGCAGAAACCTCGAGCAGAACCATGGCTCAGGGTGGGCGGCCATCTGCCTCGACCCGGTTGGGGGTGAAGGAGAGAGAGAGGGAGGGAGGGGGAGAGAGAGAGAGAGAGAGAGAGAGAGAGAGAGGGATGTAAGGAGAGAGAGAGGGGAGGGAGGCAGCCTACACAATATACACACAGAGGTACAGACAGTGAAGGTGATGTTGCTATAGACTAAATGAAAAATGGTACAGATATTTATAATAGTGTTAATGGTAACAATCGTAATGTTAATGATTATAATAACAATAATAACAATAAGACTAGCAACAATAGTCGTTGCAGCAGAGGGTGTCGAGCAGGAACACGGGGGCAGCAGGTGACCCGCAGCCACAGATCCAGACTCCACTGCTCCAGAGCCAGAAAACCTGCAGGAAGTGATAGGAGGAGGAGAGAGGAGAGGGACGAGAAAGCACAAGACTACCAGAAAGGGGAGAAGTTGTGTTAGTAACATGCAATAATGGGATGAGGTTGCATACAGAGGGAGAGAAAGTAGAGGAGAGAGGAGCTCAGTGCATCATGGGAAATCCCCCGGCAGTCTAGGCCTATAGCAGCATAACTAAGGGATGGTTCAGGACTCACCTGAGCCAGCCCTAACGGGAACCGGACCCAATGTCTGAAATTAATATGGGGATAGCTGACAAATCAAAGCCCACTTTCTTCTACATCAGTATAAAAATATTTATGTAGCTATTCTATTCATTCCTAAGATGCTCCTGTACATATTGTGCAACATTCCCTAGCCTACTCTTCCTTCCTACATCAGATTCAGGCAACAGCAAGTGAGGGATAGATGACCAGCAGACGTAAGGCACCATTTTTTCTCTTCATATGTCTTTACAGAATGTAAAACACTATCCCTGTTAAGCCTGCTCTCACCCTTTCTAGACTCCCATCACTGCTAGCACAGAGACTGAAGGAAGAGCTGTGCCTCATTTTTCTTCTTGTACATGTATGTGCTCAATTGTTTTACTCTTACTATGTTTAATGTTTGTTGTATATGTAATGTTAAAACGGGCATTGGAAATTAGCAGCAGCTATAAATGCTGTTATGCTGTGCACTGGAAAATTGTTGTACAATTTTCTTTGTTTATAGCATCTATACCCATCAAATAAACTTTTTTTAAAAAGAAGAAAAAAAAGAAATCGCTTGCAGTCCATGCAGAATATATTCTGATCACCTCCATTCCTTTTCTGCTCCTGTTCTTTTTTCACTGCTGCTCATTCATCCTTTCTTTCCATTCTCTGTCTTCAGCATACGACAATCCCTAAACATCTCTATTTACATGTGCAAAAAGGAGTAGGAAGAAGTAAAACTTATGTACTCCTACCCCTTTATACCCTAAATGTCATAATAAACAATAAAAATTTTTTAACAAAAATAATAAATCCTTAATCAAAGAAAATACATATTCAAGCTATATTCACGCCCTGCGATGGACTGGCGACCTGTCCAGGGTGTACCCCGATGTCAGCTGGGATTGGCTTCAGCCCCCCCATGACCCTGTACGCAGAATAAGCAGTTGACGATGGATGGATGGAAGGTATGTTTACATACATATATTCACACAAACACAAAAATATTTGCACACATACTTCATATTAATTTCAATAGAAGGTGATTATAACAACTGTACTTCATCTCTGTACCTCTTGAAAATAATTTATTTTGTCATTATCATAGGTTGGGGAGAATTCAAAATCAATACATTGGGAGATAAATGTACATCTTGCCAAAAAGTGCAAGAGTGAGGACAAGACCAAAAAAAAAGAGATCTATCTCCCCCGACTTTATGAAGAGTCACACAACAATGGCAGCACCTATGGAAGCACATATTGTAAATGCTTAATTATCAACTAAAAGGCAACCTTAATTTATTTGCCTGTATTAAATGGAGATAATACAAAATATCATAGTAAAACCTGATCTGTAAGTAAATTGATATCAACACATGCTGCCAGTGGTATTAGGTAGCTTGTGACGGTAAACAGCGTCTGAAAGTCATCTTCTCCACACAAAAGTTCTTCAGTTTGTCACGTTCAGCCATTTGTTCAGCAGTGATTGGAACGCAGCATAATTCTCACACAGCCAACATATTAGTTTTTATGTAAATAACCTGTCTGTAAGAGCCATTTTGACATATATGGTATTTGCTAAGTTGTTGTTAAACACCTGCTATATGTTCATGGGTTATGCAGAATTTCTTTTTATTTTTGATATTGTGTTTTTGTACCTGCTGATTGGGTGGGTTAGTAATTTCGCTGCACATAGGCAGGAGGAAAAAAGTAACACGGGTGAAGGGAGGAGAGATCTGCAAGAGCCCTGTATTGTAACAAGTTTTTGACCGTGTTTTGCAAAATGTTTTTGAGTGACTTTTGGTGAACTGTACTGGGCTGGTAATGGACCAAGCGTTTTTGTATACTCCGAATTAAAAAGGTACACTCAAATTCTTCTTGTCACTTTTTCTGGATTGGGTACTCCTGGAGTGTGGATATTAGGACACACATGGGTGGACACGCGTCAGCCTGGGATGGACTTCTTGCAGAATAGTGGCCTTGGACTTTGTCATGAAAATGGCCACGACACTGTCCTTCTCAAACTAAAGACATTCAAAACAGCAGTAGTCAAAATACACAATGGGTAAGGAAAGCTGGAAAAAAACATTTTTATTATTGACCTGTCAGATAAACTGCCAGGACCAACCTCATCAGTAGTTGTATTATTTTATTTTATTTTAAGAATGTTTGCAGTCTCTGAATTGTCTGTTACAGGCCTTTGGTGAATGCCACACAGCAAGAGCAAAAGCTCTTCAATGAAACAAAATATTTAAAGTTTCTATAGACAACATCATGTTGTTGATGATCCAACATCTAAACCAATCAGCTGCTCGATCAGGGGAGGGCCAAGCATTTCCCATCATGCCTCGAAGCTTTTGCAGTCGGTGTGGGAACTCCATGGTGGAGAGCAACTGCTCCTGCAGGTCAGAGCAAGTCAGTTATCAAGTCTGACAGAAATCTGACCTGACAGTGGAGGCACTGTGACTGATTCTGTGAAGGCCTGGTAGGCCTACATCTTGATGAAGCCTGATATAATTTCTGAGACATGCTAGGCCCTCGATAACATAGTGTGTGTTTGTTTAGGTAATAACACAAAAGAAGAATTCCTTTTAGTCTAGATATTTTTTGTATCATTTTTGGGCTCCAAGCTGAGGAGAGCCCCTTAGATTTTTTGGACAAATGCCTTTTGTGGTCCTTCAATATACAATTTAATGAAGTTTAATTTATTTAATACCATTGTGGTTGTGAAAAATGGTTTGACAAATTCCTTCCATTTACATAGAGAGAAAACGTTTCTATAATTAGTTCTGGGGCACTTGTTTGAGTTCTAATTTAGTCAGTTGAGTGAGTTTATAAGCAGTTTTTTCTTTCCATAGGAGTTGGCTTGAAAGAATTACTCTAGTATAGAGTGAAAATGTAACCAAGCATATAGTTCAAAAAGAGAAATGTAATCCAAAAAGAAAATCCAAAAAGTTAGTACTACTTTTTTTGGGGTGTCTAAGGAAGGTGTTGGGGGATTTTAACTCATGACCTATATGTCTGAAATTACAGGCGAGAATGGATATTTCAAAAATATTATATAGGGTTTTTACATAATGGCATCAACAACTGCAGCTGAAGGTGATGATGGCCATGTACGTGTTAGTGATTGAATGACACTGGACCTCAAATAATTCCTTGTGAGAGTAAAAATGTGAGATCCTTTAAAGAAAGCTCTCTGCCGGATGAAGGTGATTTAAAGTATGACATTAGTTCCTTAAAGGCCCTGAAACCATGTTTTCTTAATAAGCTTGTTACTGTGAGTGATGGACACTGACGTGAAATGTTTGCTGCCAAAGTTTCAACAGTTTTAGTTATTTCACATGAGAGATTTCTGTATTTCCGTTTTCCCCTCTATGCTCCTCTCACTGGTTTGAAATAGCCAAGGCTCAGCTGAAAAAAGATCATGCCACATACTTCCATGCACAAATCAGGATTGAGCAACATTTGAATCAGAAGTCCCTCCCCTTCCACCACCATGGGACTTTATTTCAGAAATAAGGTGTAGTCTTTTTGACTGCTCAAAGCACTTTACACTACATCACATTGACCCCATGCGCACACATTCATACACTGATGAGCAGAGGCTAAGATGCCAGCTGCTCACCAGAAACAGAGAGTCATTCACACACAGATGGTAAAAAGCCATCGAATGCCATTTGGGGTTCAGGATCTTGCACAAGGACACTTTGACATACAAACTGGGGGAGCTGGGGATCAAACCATTAGCCTTCTGTTAAGTGAATGACGTCTACCCCCTGAACCGCAGATACCCTTAAGAGACAAAAAATGTTTTGATCCTGTTTGAATTGTGAATGTTTGACAATTTAAAATATGTGTCAAATATGTCAAGAAGCTCTCAGTTTGTCATAAAACTGTTGTATAGTTAAAAATAAATAATAAAACTGTAAAAATAATAATATAAAAAGACCACAAACCTAAAAGGTAAATATGTGACAATAACTGTTTCTCTCAAAGACTGAGGCTAACGTTAGAGAAGATAACGTCAAAGAACTTCCATGTGTAGCTGATGTGATAAAAAGACCAGCAGTCGTTGGATTAAACACATCAGGTGAGACACAGTTGTGTGTGGTACATAGCTAGCTAGTAGCAATCAAGTTACCAACATTAGCTAGCACTACAGCATTAACATGTTTGGATTTAAAAACAATTATACAAGCGGAAACTTTTTGGAGAAATGTAATCATTAATTGACTCAGTCTTTCAATTTCTGAGGAGAAAAAAACACAATCTCATGGCCGATTCCGATAAACGATTCTTTAAATGCAAAGAAGCTGAACTGTTTTAAGCTATTCATTTCAAATGTGTGTGTGTGTAAATGATACTATAGTTGGCAAATAACTTACTTTTGGCTTTATGTATTGCTTTATTTGTTTAATTTGAATTTTTGTTGAAAGGTAACAGCCATTAATTCAGAATCCTTATAATCCACTGAGCAGTACCAAACCAATAAAATCACTTCTTTATATGTTAATTATAAACTGATACATTTGCTGAAGTAAAATGTGCTTTGCACCACAGGGATTCAGTCTTAAGTCATGTAAGATGCAGATGTATAAGACTTTACCAACACGCAAGTTTCATTGTGTAATAGGTTAGGAGTCATTCCCACAAGACATGCAGGGATACTTTTAAGCAGCAATAAGTGCTCTCAAGTCAGTATTTTCATTCCCTTGTTGACTCGTCTTGACTGCAGTCAGTTTCAGCGTCGTCCAATTTCTGGTCTGTTTTGGGTAGCATTAGCAAATCAGAGGCGAGATTCTGCAGTCCACCACCACCCACAGGAGAAACAGATGAAGATATCATCGGAGAGGTTACATAGTCCCGGCCGTGGACGCTTACATAGGGTCTGAAATCCACTCTGGACCGCACTGGCGGGATGAAGTACTGGGCTGATGGTGCAGAGAAGCTGGAGTAGGGATAAAAGAGAAAGCCTCCAAAGTGTGAAAGGCTCACCAGGTCCTGCAACCATGGGACAAACACATACAACAGATTATCAGCTGTTCTTTAAAGAATAAAAGTGACAGCCCAGATCTGAATAAACTTATAATGCTAATATCATGGTGTAATAATGTAATAAGTAATGTTATATAAATGACTTTAAACAGGCAATCATGCATGAATATTATTTTTTGCAAAAACTCTATAATCAAAACAGCAAAATATCGTTATATTTAAATGACACAGATTTTTTTTTACAGTTCAAATAAAAAATAACAAACAATATTCATTCGCCAAGTAAAGTCCTTCATATACAGCAGGTACACAGAGCAGATAAGGGGGATTTTCAGGTAATTCATATTTAAATTAGCACACAGCTTGGATTCAATTATCAACATTAATTAACTAGATACATTACTCAAGTACCCTAAGTACAGTTTTACGTTACTTTATGCTACTTTCTACTTTTACTCCACCCCACCTCAGAGTAAAATATTCTTCTGCTACACTGGACAGCTGTAGTGACTACAACCAGCCAACATTAAAATGCTGCTTACAAATTAAAGAGAGTTGCACAATTTTTTAATCTGTCTTCAAACAAAAGTCAGATGGCCAAACATACAATTATGTTTTTTGCTTGCTCCGATCATTCCTCCTGTTCATCCTGGATATTAAACCCTCATGTGCTTTTAATGTCAGACAAAACACACAGTCCTTGTTCTGTGTAAAAACGTAAAACCAAACTTGTGTAACTGTCCTTCTACCACATCTTAACAAGGAAGCACAAAGAGAGAATTTTACACTAAAAAGAGTAACTTTGGAAGATGCCCACTTGATTTGTCAAATTCAGACTGCAGAAACCTGTAAAGACCTTTTACTTGTACTTTACACTCATTTCAATTAATTTGCAAATTAGGATAATACATGAAAAACAATGACGTGTTTATGAAACAGTTAATGGTGAGAAAAAAAATGCTGCTTACAAATTATTGTGCATTAGTAATAATAATAATAATATTCCAACATTATAATATATAACCTCTACCAAAACACTGACAGGGGCCATTCTCTTGTATAACGAGTACTTGAACTTTTGTTACTTTAAATACATTTTACTGCTACCTCTTCTGTACTTAAGTACATAGCATATTTTCCTATGGAGTTATCTTAATACTTTTATTTAAATCTTCACTTAGGATGACTCAGGAGTAATAATGAAGTGAGTTCTAAGTGTGTCACGTGTTTTAATAAGTGTTTCCCTGTTTTGACGGTGTACCTGTACCAGCGCATGCTGTTGAAGACTGATGGGAAATCCTGGAGCTCCTGGTGTCCTGACAGCTGCTGCCAGGCTCAGTCCACACAGCGCTGCTCTGTCCGTGGTGGCGCAGCTGTTCCAGGTGTTTACCTGAGCAGAGTGGAGAAGACTGTTGGGGATGCTCAGATCCTGCAGATGTCTGTGTAATTCCGTTGCATTAACACAGCTCTGCACGGAACCACTGCATAATTTGCACAAGTGTTCCTTCTCGGAGTCGTGCGGCTGGCAGCAACCCGCTCCATCAGTTAATGTACTGATGACATGGATTTGACTGGGGTCCATTCCTCTATGTGTCCCAGTTATGAAAACCTTTGGTTCACTTTCAGTTTCCTGGTTGGTTTTGCACACCTCTTGTCTAGGACTGTCCTCAACATTAACATCTTTGTCACTGTCACTTTCATGAGGATCTTGAAAAAAAAAAGATAAATGGGAAATTAGTTTCGGATGACTCACAGAATGTTAGCTGTTGACAAAATGAGTATTACATTAGGTGGAAGTAGTGTCTGTGAAAAACACATTTTCTGTACCTGAAGATTTACAATAATCAGAGTATTGTGTAGGTGAATCCTTTACAGGTGCAGATTTCATGTCAGTCATCCGCATCTCTTTCGACTTTTGTGATGAATGCTGCAGTTTCCTAATGTTACAACAGAAAGGACAATAACTGATTTCATAGGAGAAAAATCATTATTTTAGAATCTGTCTGCAAGACATCACTTAATTGAAAGTGGAGCATTTATGCTGTTTATTTGCCGTCTCCTTAAAGTTGACAGTTTTGTTTGTCTGCTCAGAGGTGACATCACTCTGGAGTGGCTGTTCAGCAGTATAAATCTGACCACATGATACTGCAGCACCATCGTGTTGACTCCTACGAGCTTGGACAACGATTTTTCTCTGTGTACAGTTAAAGTAGATTCTCGCTGAACCAATGTGCGACTTGTGCTCCTTGAAACTGAGAGGACTTTTCTCCTGCTGCTCTGGCACTTTTGAGGTTGAAACAGTTTGAATTCGCACTCATTTGGCTGCAGCCTAAACTTTGGAGATAGCTTTCTGTGGTTGTTCAGGATAGATTCAGAAAAGGATAGATTCAATTCATGTGATCAATTCAGCATTAAATTGTTTTCATAGCAAATTCTAGCAACATAAGGGTGAAAATAGCCTATATGATTCTGTAATTTAACATTATTAGACTGATTCGAGTGTTTTCTGCATGACAGTTTACAGAAAATATGACTTTTATATATAAATATGACATTTAGGTGTATAAATAAAATATGAAAAATCTCAATTGTTTTTTTGGCTCTTCAGAGCAGAGAAAAATTTAGAACAGCAATCTATCTATAGAAAGCCTTTCTGCACAATGTGTATTTTTTCTTTTGCTACTTTGTAAAAACGTAGGCTATAGTTTTGCATGATAATACTACCTCAAGTAAGATTTACTTCCTGGAGGCAGAACTTCTGCATGTAATTGTTTTATTTCTGCGTTATTAAAGGCTCTGAATGCTCTATCCAGCATCAGTTCTGTGGCACAGAGCAGGCGCAGCCGAACTCTAGTAAAGAAAAGAAGGCCTCCACCACCATAAAACAATTCTGGCTTTTGTATACTGCAACAAAGTTTTTAACTGTTTTTGTACGGAAATCGATGAGTCATTTAAACCAATAACTTGCCTCTTTTCTCTTCTTCCGTTTCCCGTGTCTCGAAATCCCTTTGCGAAAGGATTGTTGTCTATTTTCAGCTGTGTGATCTGAAAGTTGGTATAAAGGAGAGCAACATAAAACCAAAATATCTATGGCTGATTATACATTACACCTGGATATGCCAAGAGTTTCTTTTTTGTTTTTTCGACTGCAGGTTGTTATACAGTAAAAAAAAAATCTCTTACCTTATCATTCTGGTAAGCTGTTACTGCGATGAAATCTGTCTCAGAGAAGACATATGTCCTAAAAGTGCTGTAAGGCAGTTTCAGGATGTCATTTGCCTTAACTATGTGAAATCTTGGCTGGTATTTGTGCATCGAGTTGAGAATTGTCTGCAAATAAAACACGGTAATTCAATTAAACCATATTTTGGGAAATAGTGTGCAACAAAATCTCCCATTCGTCTCGTTTCATGATTTTAAAATGGAATTAAACTATATACTACTATAGCAAAGACATTTATTTTTAAAAAAAAATTTAATTTAATTTTGCACCACAGCAAATCAACTGTATTTAATTGTTAGACACTAGACATCCTGCTCAAGCCTACCATAAACTGATAGTTCATGGTTATTATATGCTAAAATCTGTTTAGAAGAAATGCTAAAATCTAAACGTACAAATCCATGCTTATCGGATATGTTGTTGGTCAGTTTCAGCTTGTGGAAGTTGACAAGTTTAGACATCCACTGCTCGCCCGTGGCCGGACTGTCCGGGTGGATGTACATGCGTCTGGGCATCTCCGGGTCCGCCTTCCCCGCCACCATCCACCGGGAGTTATGAAACTTATATCTGCAGTCATCCGCCGCCACGATGTCCATCAGAAGAATATATTTGGCTTTTCTGTCCATCCCGGTGCACCTGGCCTTGAGCGGCGGAAACATGCGCCTGTAGGGAGAAGAGTTAACTGCGTGAAGCAGGCATTCATTAAAACACTGTACAACGTCCATACAGGCTTTATTATTACACATTTACTGTACCTCCCGGATTTTGTAATGACCATTTCAGTGCCGCATTTGTGGAACTCTCTCCAAAGGTCGCTGGCTTCCAAATAAACTTTCGGCTCATCCTCTGTCAGTCCTCCTCCCTCCAGAATTTCTGGAGGCCTGCACGAAATCGAAGACGTTTGAATCATCGGGTCCGCGCTGGCATCCAGACTTGGTTCTGATGATCTTCGGGAGGATAAGGAGAGGGCTGAGAACAGCGAGGGTCCGGCCAAGATAGTCCCGTGAAGGGCCGCATCTCTTGTTGCAAAGCCCTGTGGTACTTCGGCTGGGACGCACGGCTCCAAGAAGCTGCGCATGGTCTCCACAGGAAAATACACTTTTACGACTCTGATTGGATTATACTTGGGTTACCTCACGTTGATATTTGCGGGACAAACGTGTCTGCATAATTAAATAAGTAAAGGAAGCAGCTTTAATACTATTTTTGCTTTTTCTCGGGATGTTTTGTCTTAGAAAAATCCTGCCCACAGTCCAGTGCTGATGCCTCCCAGCCTGTGTCCAAGCTGATTTGCTCCTTGACACATTTGGACTCAGCATGACACCCAGCAGTGGGTGGAGTTTATGTGCAGGAAAATGCTACCTCAAGTTTCTTCATTGACTGATGAAGCTGTTTGTGGTTAAAAAAAACAGCTGTATTAATCCTAAAGCAACAAGCCAAACCTGGACCACCCGAACCTGCACTCACATTCAGTATTTTAGGCACAGACGTTCTCTTCAGTTTGTATGAAGATGCATTAGACTCTTATGAGTCTAATGCATCTGAGGGTCCCACATGTACACTGTGATGAACACTAGAACTGCACCATCATGAAAGTGAGTGACAACCCAACATTCTGGTCCAAACACTGACTTTTTGTCTTCCCACATCATTCCAGTGCTTTGTGGTTGGATTAGTTTCACTGATGTGGTCTCTCCTCCCAAGCAGGGCTGCATGGGGACAGTCTGCAGGGATTCGGCTCTGTGGAGGTGCCAGCGATTGTCCTGGCTGGATTAGGCTCTGGGTTTGGTTACAGGCTTTTTATTGCTCAGTGGTCCATGATAGCAAAGGGATGTCCCAGAGAAAACTCTCTGTGAGTGAGAGCGGCAGGTTCAGGATACATATGTGCCACCCATGATGTTCAGCACTTCAGGGGCTCTGCAGTATATGTCAACATGAGGAGGAGGTGCTCAATGTGAAGTCACGTAAAATTATAAAGTGTGAAGAAAGACAATTACTCTGTGTTGCTTAAACACAGCCAATATTACTCAAATTAAAGTTACTTAAAGTAGGCTTATGTGTTTTGCTGCTGATCAGTTGATCGGACAAAATAGTGATTCAACACATACATGCAGCGTTTAACCACAGAAACACACTGTCAACGTTGATAAAGGCTCTAGGATGTGTCTAAAAGCTCAGAGAGAAATCTTGTGGACCATGAGCTAAGATTTTTGAAAGAAGAATTTCCCATGTTCATTATATTACATACATATCACACGTTAGGTACATTACATCCATTACACCATTTTAAATATGTGATTAATGTGGTAAACAACCTTAGCACGACACAAGAACATTGAGGTTCAGAAAAATCCTCGATTATGTTTCATTGTTTGCTTTTACATCTAATGCCAACATTTTTCACACTTTCACTTTCCACAGTATGTGCATGGCAACTATGGTATCATTAAGATTAGGGAAACAATGTGGTTATGTGGTCGTGTTTATTGGACAGGGAAAGATTGTGCTTTTGGTACAAAATGGTGTGGCAGATCCCCCCTCTCCATGGATCCATGGTGTGACTAAGATTAATGCATTGAAAGCACATACAAGGAATGTGTGTGTTATGCCAAGAGAATATTGTGAAGAGAGATGCTACAGTAACATCAAACTCTACACATGGATTGACTGACACATTGAAGGAACAGGCGTGGACTACTGAATTTGACAAAATTACAAAGCTGATCATCTTAAATTACTGATGGGATATGAATGACCCCTGTCTAGAGAAGGTTCATCGCTCTGTTGTAGTTGTTGGAACCACAGAAACACAGCGGCGTTACAGAGTGGAGCTTCTCCAGCTTGTACTTAACTGAAAAGCATTCATAATAAGTGTGACTGGGAAGATTTCAATGGGCCATCTTTGACATGGATGACAGGTTGTTTGTGTCTGTGATGCACAGGATACAAAAACAAAAACATTAGCTTTAAAACTGAAAATCTATTAAATCGTATTAAACAGGACTATCACTGACTTGTGGCAATGAAATTGGTTTAGTTTCCTTAGAAATTACAAGAATCGCAGTCACTGTGCTTAAAGTTCAGTGTCAATGACTGTCCACTTATTTTTAACTGGTTACCACTTCTAAGTAATGGCCTTTGGTGAAACAATGGTAAGGGGTTACGACAGTTTTTGTAAAAGCAACACAATGAGGCTTCTATTTCAGTGAGGACCTTGCTGTGAAATCAGGAAATACCTCACACTGGACCTTTTGTTATGGCTTCCCGATGGCTCTCTGATCAGATGCCTAAGTAAGCACACTTCTTATTCAGAGGTCATTCAAGATATGCGGTGGGTGGCAGAGCTGTTGATGACCCAATCTTTTTCTGGCAGAGAAGCAGGGGAAAACCCTGCCTGTCCGTCAGCCAACTTCAAAGAGCCAGTCAGTAATCTGAAACAGGCCCGAGAATGATAGCAAACAAGACGCCTGGCTGTTATTTGTGGGTTTGGCCCACAAGCTGCGTGTGAAACCTGTCACTGAGGATAAACCTGCAGATCTCCACTGGGTCACTGCCCAGTAACACATTCTCCCTAGTAAAACCTCCACTGGACCATTTTGGGTGTAGGGATATAAGTCAGTGGGATTCATCCTCTGTGAACCATGAATGTCTGTGCAGAATGTGGTGCCAATCCTAGATGTGGAGATAAGATTGAGTGAAAACTTGCTGCTGTTGCGAGATGGAAAAGTGGTTAGATGGACCCTAATGGTGGACCAACCAACCCCCATCGCCATCACTAGAGCCTACATTCAGCAACCAGGAAGGGTGCTCATGTTTTCAAATAGCTGAATGTTTTCACCAGTTAGTCAGGATGTAGTGGGAGGTAAGTCCAGTTCGGTGACTTCAACGGCTACGGAGATACTACATGGAGAACTGTGGATTCTCCTGAAGTTGGTGAACCCTTGACTTTTCCTTTAGTGCAAGTATGAGGTTGACATATCGTAGGCTGAAATATCTCAACAACTATCAGATGGATGGCCACGAAATTTACAGTAAAAATTCAAGGTATCTAATGACTGGTCCTCTAGCGGCTCTGTGAGGTCAACTTTTTATTCTTTAGTGAAATATCTCTATAACTATATGATGGATTTCTGTGAAATTTGGTTCACGCAGTCATGATCCTCAGAGGATCTCCTGTCTTTTAATCTAGCCCCATCATCAGGTCAATGTGTTTATTTGTCCAACACATTGGTTTATGACCAAATACCTGCAAAACAAATCACATTCCCATCCGCCTCAGTGGTACTTTGTGTTTAGTTCCAATTAGCATATGCTTGCAGGCTAAGGCGTTAAACACAGTGAACATCAACATGCTCGCATAATCATTTTAAGCATGTTAGCATGCTGATGTGAGCATTTAGTACAGCCTCACAGGGCTGCTAGCATAGACTCGTAGTCTAGTTTTGCTGAGGACAATGTTAAGACTACCTTGCTGAAGATGGAAGCTGATTTCTTCCGTTGAGTGTGACTCCAGCTTTTATCAGATAGGATTTGGGAATAATGCTCTTTGTCTTGATGCACTGAGAATGCTTCAAAAGCCTGCTATGATATCATGAGAATACTAAAACAACAAAAGGTAAGTACGTGAGTAAGTAAGTAAGTAAGTAAACTTTATTTATATAGCACCTTTCACAGACAAGAGGGGTCACAAAGTGCTTCACAGTAACAAATAGAATAGGTCTCATGCAGCCGGTAAGACTATCTAGATAAAAGATAGATAAAAGATTTTTAAAAGAAGAAATGTGCAAATTATAATTTTGAAAGGTGAAAATAACACTCAAAAAGACAAACTTTAGCAACTGTTTCTGTCCATCAAGAAATCAGAGCTACTTAGTTATGGTTGCTGGCAACTCTTCCTTGCATCCAAAGTCAGCTTTGTCAGCTGTAGCGTCGTTTATTCACAATCTCATAAAACAGGAATGTTACTTTGCAATCCAAAACATCTCTGATCAAGTCTTTATTTCCTCTGACTGGAAATCGTCTCCACAGCCAGGGTCACTGGAAAGCTTCCAAACCGCTCTGGCCGCGCTGTCTCCCTAACACCTCTCATGTTTGGACAGTTGAACGTTGATGAATGGCCTAATGGTAACATGTTAGTGCGAGTGAACATAGTTGGGCTTCGAAGGTGGGAGGAATGTAGTTTAACAGCAGAGCCGAGGTGCTGAAAGAGACGAGGCCTGAGTTGATATCATAGGCACACACACAGCGGCCACATGTCTTGTGGTGGGGCAGACTGGAAGAGGAGCCATGAGAAAGTCAAGTGTAGCCCGTCAGCATTAGTGTGCATTCGCTCTTTCCTCGCGGGGGTTTAATCGCTGGACATCTCTGGAGTGTTCACACACAACGCAGTAACGTGAATAAAACAACTCGCCATTACTACAGCTGTGTGAACCCAAAGTAAACATTTTGCTGTGATTAAATAGCAATAAATGGATCAAAACTGATACCAAAATAACTACAATATGATGCAGATTTGTTAAACATATGAATTCATGCTTTGTCAGGTCTGTCAGCAAGACAACAACTTTTAAAATGTTTGTTTTCTGAATGGAGTTTGGATCGATGAGGGCTATGCTATGCTAACTTGGTCACAGTAAAGTACAACGATAGCAGGAATAAAGTTACATACACATGTTTTCTGAACTCACCAGGTAGTTCAACCTCCTCGCTCTATTTTCCCCCAGCAATGTCCAGTTTTATCTGAGTTTTATAAAAATATGAAGTAGTGCCAAACGACGCTAAATACACTGGAACCGGATGTGCACAGAAGTTAGCTGCTGAGAAGCTCCAGTGAAGATAAATCAACGTTGTAATCTCAAAAACTAAAGTAAAAAGCTAATTTAATAAAAGCAGTTTACTCCAAGCTCCTCCCTCGAGCAAACAGCGTAGTTGTCAGGGCAGAATCCTGTCTGACCACAGGTGTTTATTTGCCCAAAAGCTGGAGCGCTGCTCCCTGCTCCTCTAGCCCAAGTTTAGCAGCTCTCAGCCGGCCTGCAGATTTTCAATCGCCCAATCTGCATGGCCCTCTCCACGCAATGGACGTATGGACAATCACAACATTGATAGGCGATCGCGACTCATGAGTTGAAAATATTCACTTCGCGCCACCCGACAGGAAATCGCAGCTCTACGCATCTTTGCATTGACTTTGTATGTAAACTCACCGCCCCAAACGCTCTCGCTTCGCTTTTGGTCTGAAAGCACCATTAGACTGCAGTGTGTAGTATCATCTTCAGTCCAACAAAGTGATGGAGATCTGCTTCTGTTACACATTTAAAATATAAAAATTTTAC